CCCCCCCCCCCCCCCCCCGAAAGCAAGCAGTGAGGTCTCCTTTGTATCTTTAAGAACACATTGTAGGTGGCTGTGGCCTGGTGGTGTTTATTTGACTTGGTTTGCCCTGTAAAAGCAGAGGCTATGAAGGATGACCTTGTGTCAACCCTCAAGCCTGCAGAAGATTGCACCCCACTGGGATTTCACTCCTCTGTCTCGTCCCACAGGGAGCCGGGTGTCTTCACAAACACTATTTTCCCCCGAGGTCCCTTATAGGCTGGCTGCCATGATGTAACTCCTGGGAAAGTTAGGTGGGCAGATATTTAAAGACCTATGGCGATGTTGTTCCCAGCTCATTGATTCTATCATTCACAGGCCTAGTCTGACTCCGCTGTGTCTGGGACATCCGATAGGGGCGGTGCGGCCCCGAAAACTGGGGCAGCATGCCGTGTAAGCCCCTCACAAAGCCCCATAGAAAGGGTCCTGAAAGAGAACACCTCGGCGAGGATTAGCCCCCTGTGCCTCCCTCTCTAACATTCTTTTCATCTCATCTCCCACAATCAGAGGGTAATGACATAATCACTCTTAAGACGCACTGTTATGCCAGATAGTGTCTTTGCCAAACATTGTCACCTCTGATGAGAACCTGAGCTTTAAGCTTGACATCTGTGAAAGTGGTTGTATTCAAGGTCGCATTTGTTGGTGCCACCTTATTCAGGAAGAAGAAGAAAAAAATGCCACACACCAAGAAAAGTGGTTTCTTTTCTTGGGTAGTTTGTAAGTTTATCCTATTACACATCTGTTAGGTCCCAGAGAAAACAACATGTCCATTGGAGCTGTCTTGGCAAGAAATTTGTGTTCTCAAACAAGCCAAACATTTACACTCCACATTTACATGTTTTTCCCTTGTGCCCAGTGGAAACAGTGGAAACAGCTCTTATGATGGCATTCGCTTTCTATCTGACCAATCCCGTGTGTGGGCCGTTGGCAGCGCGCAGTCGTACACTGCATTCCTCGGGAGATTTTCCATTTGAAAGTGATCACAATAGTGAGGTGTGGAGTTGTGCTGTGAGTGGAATTTTTTTAATGAGACGATAACTGAAGTACCTTTCAAACAGACTGTGATCTCTGTGAATCATCACGTTGTTCAATTTAAGAGCAAAATGTCAAAGGTACACATATGTAAGTCTTATTGCTCTCCACTCTGAAGATGAGAGGAATCTGTCATTGTTGAGAGCAGCGAGGGATCTGTGATGGCTGTAATTGAGGGAGTCAAGTCAAACATCACGCCTGGCGTGTTGAGTAACGGCTGGGTTTAGCCCCAGGCGAGGGTTTTTGTTTCCTCTCTCTCATCCCCAGTGATGATTAATGCAGCAATGTGTGGGACATTTTGGATCGACCTACACATAGAGAGACAAGTCCCACAAGAAACAAACGCTACTGAGAGGGCACACACCTTTTCATACATTACTAAAGGTAATGTGCTGCATGACACTGAACTCTGCCTGCAACATGTCAGACAACTAAAGTTTATTTAAACCTCATTTAACATATTTAAATCGTCTGGAAGAGAGTGCAAAAGAAACTAATATAACATAAACTTTTCTGCAAGTAAAATAAACTGTACAGCGTCGCACACATAGAGGGAATGTTTTATTTGGATTTTGTTTAATTTCTAATAGCTTCAGATTGATGCCAGATTTATAGAAATCCCTTAATCTTGCCTGATTCTTATCATGTGCTGGTCATGTTCCCGAAACCATGATTTCAGAATTATTACTACACTAAACAGAACATTGGTCAATTGTGGCAACCATAGTGCTGATTAGTCAGCGTGAGATGGTCATTTGTTATGTTGTTATTGACAATGGATATATAAAACATATAATAGATATCTTACATGACATTTACTATTAAAGGAGTTGTTTGACATTTAGGGATATAAGCTTATTATAAAATGAACACCACTCTTTTAACTGTACGATAAATATAGAACTACAGCCAGGAGATGGTTAGCTTAGCTTAGCATAAAGACTGGAAACAGCTAGCCCAAAATCCCAGGGGTTATATGATGAAAGAGTGTGATTTTTACTTTTTGGTTTTTGTACGGATTAAACAAACAAGAGGTGAGATTTAGAGATGTTGTTACCTTTAGACGGAGCCAACCAGGCCCGCTGTTTCCTCTTTTACAGTTTTTATGCTAAGCTACTAGACAGACATGAGAGTGGTACCGATTTCCTCATCTAACGCTTGACAAAAGAGCGAATAAGCGTTTCAGAATAAATTCATTAAAATATGCATAATGTACAAACGTTTCACAGTTTCAGTTAATACCCTGTACCTTTGTTCATGTCACCACCTGTCAAATCTCTCCAACAACTTGTAGGTTGTAACCCAAGACGACAGAGGCAAATTAGTTTCATAATAAGAGTAAGAAAAGAAAAATGAACCATTTACAGTGTGTACTTATGTAACATAACGCAGAGCCACAAATGAATCATATAAAAGGAGGAGGATCTAATGACTTCTTACCTGAAATGTTCTGCCTGCAGTCAAACTATGGGGCAAACCTGTTTACCTGAGATGGATCAGGATCACTGGAGCTTTTCAACAGCTCATTTTACCTACCACAGGGAAAATGAGCACTCAGTCCAATTTCAAAGCTTTAATTCGTACACAAAACAGATGTGACACAGCGCTCAAGGTTTCTTTCAGCTTGTATTGCCTTTTTATATCAAGAGGAAGCCAAGATTGTCCCTGGTGATTTCTTAAGCATAAACACAAATTTATTCACTTTCTCTCACACATAATAAATGCATACACACTTTTGTTGGGACAACAGTGAAGTTAAAATCAAGGCACATTATAAAAAGGCATGTTCAACGGTATCATTATATAATAACCGTGTTTCATTTACCCTTTCAAATGGTGTTGCTTCAACAGTTGTTGAACTAATAGCAGCATCCTCATAGTGTGATAGAGTAATTATGTTTTGCACACGGTGCTTGCCAATTGAGTAATAACAGTTTGAAGAGAACAGAGTCAACATTGCATGCCTAACTGTATTTAGCTCTCCGGCGATAAATCCTCAAGGCAATCTGTTTCTGTGAAGTGCAGCGGTGGGGAACACGGGGGTGGATGCATGACGACTGGGATGCACGCAGGTTACCAGGATCCCCTCGTCCCACACAGCCTGGGGATCCCTGCCTCCCGGGGTGGGATCGGCCCAGTGTTAAGGCCCGTCCACCCATGCATGGATGACTGCACAGGGAGCAGCACAGGGATGTAAAAACAAGGGATTAAAGAGGGCTCTCCATCATCCTGTCCAACCTTAAACCTGCGTGTGCAACATTTTTTTATCAGCAGCAAAAAGTTTCATGTCATCAAGTGTGTATGAACAGGTAGAAAAACAGATATCACACAAAAGAAAACAAGATAAGTTCAGCTGTACATGGAAGAATTCAGGAGCTGCCTGCAGTGGAGTAGAGTTTCAGTATCTGGTTGCAGCCCCAGAGACGTGTTTTAACAGTTGTGTTTGTGTTTTTGGTGGCATGCTGCCCCGGGGAAATATTTTCTCATTTTATTGCTTCAAATAAATTCAACCTAATTTTCCCCAAACTACATGACAAACACACTTAAAGCAGTGCACACAGAAGTATTATTCATGCAGACTAAAATCATTCTTTTTCTGGGTAATAAAATCTCATAAGGCCTCTGTGAAGGATCCACAATGATTACAACTGAGTCACTAATTGATCCAAAATCTCCAAACTCACTGTGCTGGAGGTTAATCAAACAACTCTTCACTTTTAGTGTGCACCATGAGTATGAGGCAAAATCAGTGGTGGAGAGCATATTTACTCAAATACTGTACTTTATTTCCATTTTATGCTGTTCAATTCAACTTCAACTCTCCAACTTCTTTTCAGAAGCAAATAGATACTTTTTTACTGGACTTTACTGAACAAATTAAGATTTTATATGACATATAATAAGCTTATAAAATGCAATGCATTGTAAAAGATTAAACCAAGTGTCCCCACTCTTTTTGGTCTGTGACCCCTTATAAAAAAAAAAAACTGTCTCTAGTTGGGGCCCCTTGACATGTTTCAGATGTCTGTGAGTTGTTAGCAGTTCCCCTGTAAATTTCTCAGAGGGTTCTATTTTAATAACTAGGCCCAAAGAAAAATATACTTATAACATTTCACAATAAAACAAATATTAGAGAGAAGTCCAAAAAATTAATACAAATTTGTGAAACAGAACTTTGTTTTTTCTTTTCCCTACCCCATTAATCATCTCACGACCCCCCCAGATCTATCTTGTGGCCCTCTGGCAGGGGCCTGACCCCCAGGTTGGAAACGACTGGACTAAACTACCTGACAGTATATAAAGAAGTTAAAGGAATAGTTTGACACTTAAGGAAACATGCTTATTCTCTCTGTGGCAGGGAATGCCACAATGAGAATATAGACACTACTCTCATATCTGACTAGATACCGAACGCCAAGATGGTGCCTATTCAGACCAATGCGAATTCTTTGCCTGGTGCATAAGCCAAAAAAGTTTTCTAGCATCTGAATTTACTTCCTGGTTGTGCAACCCACTGAATATGTGCATGAACTTTGAATTATGATGACGTCATGGATTTTACAAATATAAAACCTCATTGCTGCAATACCGCGAGTCGCCACTAGACAGAACTGGAAACAAGGCCACAGTTCTATCACATACCTATGGTTCAATATAAGGCTACAGCTAGCAGCCTGTTAGCTTAGCTTAGCATGAAAACTAGAAATAGGCAAACTGCTAACCTGGCTCCAAAACAAAATCAGCCTGCCAGCAAATCTAAAACTCACTAATTAACACATTATATATATATATTTTTAAATCTGCAGTAACTTTAAAAAAGCAGTTACTTCCTGTTTCGCTGTTTGCCTTGCAACTGCTCAGAGGATTTTGTATCTGTTGGACTGTTTCCAGTCTTTGTGCTAAACTTAGCTAACCAGCTGCTGGTATTAATTTTCTCATCAGTCTCTCTGCAAGAAAGCGAATAAGCGCGTAACACTGAATGCTATTCTAATGGAATGCTTTTACGTTGTTGTGTTGGTACTTTTACTTACCAGCATGTTAATACTTTTTCCAAACCGTGGACACAATGCATCCCATTCTTCAGATCGGAGCCTCAGTAATGTGTCATGATTTAGAGCGCCATGAATAAAAGATAAACACTGTCTAGAAGATTTAAAGTTTCTCACCTTTAGACAGAATACCTGACACATTCTCCGAGTCCGTGCTGGAAAAGGCGTGCGCTCACACCTGCTGACAGACGAGGCCACTTTGAGGCACTCACACATCAGCAATGATCAAAGCCAGAGCCCTGGTGTTCTTCATCAACTCTCAGACTGATACCTGGATCCGCTCCCTCCCCACTTTGTTCACGAGTTGTACGTGCTGATACAGAGCTATGCCAGGGAATCCATAGTTTACTTTACGCCACAGTCAATAGCAGCGAGTGAGAGATTGAACGCCTCTGACAGGTTTTTCTGTGTCATCAAGCAATATGGTTTTCATGTCTGCATGTGCGTAGTCTTTGATCTTCTCAGTCGAGACAGAGACTCACCTGCTTACAATGAGTCAGATTTCTTTTTGGCAAGTTGTGTGAGCCATCCCAGCTGTCACTATATAGTGTATGTTAGGCTCCGACAATGCACATGTTTAAAATAAAAACACAAATCTGTTAAATGGAAAGTGTTAAAGTGTAACAACTAAATTATTTATACAGTGATTTGCTGTTACTTTTTAGCTCAGAAATGAAGGTAATAATTACCTTGGTCATAGCTTTCTTCCTTGAGCACAGAAAATCCTTGAGGGCAAGATTTTAATGGTTTAATTACAATGGCGTGTGTTAAAGAGGATAACAAGTATGGCTGATTTCCTGGCAATGATATGCTGTCTTTTTTATTATTATGTAGGGAATAGCTAAGATGTGTAATTATAAGTCACATGTGTGGGCCAACTGTTTCATATCTCGGGAAAAGCAAGACGATCTATGACACTGATATAAACACAAGAAGAAATGTGAAGCTTTGACTCTTTTTGGAGTTAGCGTCCGCTGGCTCTCATAATTGGATGGGTGTCATTTGTATATCAAACTGAGCTGTCTAAAAGTGTCTGAGGTGATGATTCACAGTTTTACAATCAATCCCAGTGGAAATATACTCAAACTGCCACAGGCAGGGAATACTAGTGCAACCCCCAGTCGTCAACATGTTAATATTTGTTCAAGCTTACAGAACTGGTATCTTAAAGGAATAGTTGGTAAAATGTCATCACTGTGTGGTAAACAAGAAGCTACAGCCAGCATCTGGCTAGCTTAGCTTAGCATAAAGACTGGAAACAGGCTCTGTCCAAAGGCTATTTGGAGCCAGCTGCTAGCTGTAGTTTCCTATTGAATGGACAGATATGAGAGTGGTATTAGTTTTCTATTCAAACTCTTGGCAAGAAGTGAAGAAGCTTTAAAGCAGCTTTTTAAACCACCATTTAGCAGATATTTCCACCCAGAGGTGGTGGAGACCAAGACAGAGTTTTCGCAACCACAACCTGTTCTCATTCCCAGGTTGTCAAATACAGATAGATAGATAGACACTGGTCCTTTAAGTATTTCCCCCAAAATGTTCAAACTATTCCTACCAAATCATCTTGACCAAATCAGTCTTGCTTTTATCTGTTTCCAAGCCTCAAAATCACAACAAAAACACAGAATGAGTCAACATTCAGCCAGCACAGCGCCTGTTAAGTTGTTTATTTTGTCTGCTGTCAGTGAGAAGAGAAAGTCACATATATCCCACATATAAAAAACTGTTTTTATTCCAGTATATTGAAAAGACAAACAAGGAGTTACTTTGTTGCGGTGAAACAAGAGGCAAGTCTTTGACAGTGAAGAAAGGGGCATGTTGGTTTTGCAGATAAGTGATCCATGTCTCGCTGCCAAACCTAAACAAATTCCATTTCAGGCAGCTCACCTCCATGGCTCGTCTTTATCTCCTCTTCTATCTCAACTGAAGGCACTTGACATTTGGGGAAGGGTTAGGGTAAGATTCAAGCTTTCTGTAATTGGAATTCGTTCAGGCTCACATTTTACCAAAAGGAAAACACTGTTGTAGAATAAAAATACTGCTTCCAGAGAAACTGTGTTTCTTATCTCCCTAACAGATCCCAGTCTCCTATATAGTAGTTTATAATAAATGAGTTATTTCAGATAAAAAGATGGAGCATACACACGATTAGGAAACAGACTAACAATCCTAAATCATAGCTGGCCCTGGTGAACATACTGTATATACATTTGTTATCTTGTTTATTAAATTTTCCATCATTACGTTAATCAAACGAGTGGTATTAATAAAAGAAAATACTAGCATGTCTTTGGGTGAGGGAGAAAGTGTTGGCCATTTTGACATGTTGTTATAAACTACAGTAATTGAGGTCTGCAATCCACAGAATCTACATCACACATACACAGGCAGACTCATTTTTCACCAGAGTGCTCATGGAAATTTTCATGTGCTGAAAAAGAAAAAAAAATCACTTGACAAAGTTTGTTTACATTCATCCAAGTCTATTGGGCAAATAAGAACTGACGTGGCACCTGAGTGAATTATATGGAATGAAAAAATAAGCATAAACTGAAGCTTTCGAAGGAGAATGAGGACTAAACTTAGATGGCAAATTGAAAAGACTCTTCGAGGAATTGCAGTCAGCTGGGAGGGAGAGACAGAAAGAAAAGAGGTTTCCCTGTTTGACCTTCATTGGTGTCTGGCACCATTTAATTGTATCTTAGGGCAAGATTTTCCAGTGATGGTTTAAAGGAAGAAATAATGACTCATTGAATGTAGCTTCCTATGCATTATAGGCAGAATTATTTAAAAATAAAATATATGATTAATAAGTAAATAGCACTTTTTCAAAGGCTGTAATTATTGAATAAAAACACAGTGTGGTGGCATTAGAGAAAAGTCTGCGCCTGTTCCTTGATTCTTGCTTTCCTATAATGGGACATGTATATGCATTTTTAAAAATCCTGTCTTATTTATTTTATTATGCAATGTATAAAGCACTTTGTTTTTTGAGCTTGTAAACTAAATGACTGTATTGTGATGAAACACATCAATGCTGGTGTTAATGTTCACATTCTTACCAAATTTATGAAAATCAGTATTTTGTTGATTGAAATCATAACACCATCTACTATTTTAAGTCACCCTGAATTTAACAAGGCCAATGCTGACAAAGAGTTGATCGTTGGGGGCTAAGTTAAGTTATGACATTTATATAAAAAAGAGTGTTAACACCCTCTAATCAGAGAAGGACGGCTCACCACCCCCACCCCCAGTAAAACAGCTGCGCTCATTTTTTAGATGTATGCCGATCTAGATGCATCATTCACATACAGACTTGTGTTTTAGACACAGACTGTAGAACAGCTGTGAATGTGCTTCTAGTGACTGTAAAAGCTCCAGCAGACTATCTGTGGTTAGCTCTGACTACCAGCTGGATGTTCCTGCTACACTGCTGTGGCCACTCTGTCACTCACTGTCTGTGTTGAGGCCACGCCCCCTAAAGTGGCTTCCCTTTCCAGGTCTCTGATCACTGAGAAGGAGGGAGCTAGCAGAACTGAAGGGTGTAGTTACACTTGGTTAATACTCATATTGACCTGATAATTCATTTTCTGTTTCTGCTGCAGCTTTCTGACAACCAGAGAGTGGATCCACTGGGATCATGGATGGACTTTGTTAAAAGACCTGTTGGCAACTTCCCTGGAAAGTGTCGCAAACGCAAACGACCCCTGGTAAACCCAGTTTGTGTCTTGCAAAAAATTCTACTTTCTATGATAATTGGTTCATTTTCATTCTTCTTAATGATTTTAATGCATGACAATGTTTTGTACGTGTTTCCTCTACTAAGCCTGGCCCACCTGGTCCTCCTGGTCCTCCAGGCCCACAGGGACCTCCTGGCTCTCCTGGGGCTGAAGTGACACAAGAAGTTCTTCTCCAGGAGTTCAAAGAGATGATTAAAGGTAGAAACATGTTGATTTTCCAGCCAGACACATTTCAGCTACCTTTTGGGCTACAAGGTTGTTCCTTCATTAATTTTGCAGAGATAACCTACAGTTAAACAGTTTATGTCCACAACATTTCTGGTATTTCATCACATTATAATGAAGGAATCATTTGAATGTTAATCCATTCTGCACTGTGGATGTGTTTCTGTCAGAGGCGACAGAGAGGAGAGCAGCAGCATTGGACAGACAAACCAGCCCCAGCCAGCTACCTACGGCTCTCCTCACCCTGGAGGGGATGACCTCCTACCGGCGAATAGAGGAGGCTTTCCACTGCAAGCTCAAGGGACCTGTGGTGGTCGACAAGAAGACTCTGGTGGAGCTCCAGAACTTTCAGACAGTATGTTTGTTTGAAACCAAGTAAATGTTTATGAACTGGTTCAGCTTCGCTCCCTGTGCATGGCTGAAAAAGAGAGGTTTTGGCTAATCCTCCTCTGCATGGTTCCACGCTTTGTTTCTGACCCATTTGCTTCTCTGTCTTAACTATGTTTGAAAGAACGAGTGTTTGGTAATCATCGCTTAGTTTGCATGTGGGGGAATTATGAGAGGATCATCCCCTCTCTGGTAACTGGCACTGGCAAAGCATTGCACTACCACTCTGAGACTCAAGACTGGCTCTTTGGTCAAAAATATCTACTTTTTCAATTCTACACATCACTCTCTGGGCGGCATACAAAAGGCACTCTGTCTCTGACTTGGAATAAAGTGTGGAGAGGACAGAAATAGACACTGTTTGAAACAGCATGCTGTAGTGGAAGAACTATGCCTTGTTGGGATGGGCTGACAAGGCCAGAGGAGAGAGGATTAAGCTTTGCCGAACTATTTAACATGCTAACACAGCACTATCTTAGGATAGGCATGTTACTATGGCGTTGTAAAGGATATTTCACATGTTTTTGCAGAGGACAATAAAGGAGTACACAAGAAGGCAGAGGATTAAAATGGGATCTGAATCCAGGTCGTTAGGGGCCTTCTGACACACTAGCCACCCGGCTTGCATAAGTCTAGCTTAAATGGGTACGACATTATGGCTGATAATCAAAATCCTCTATGTGAATGGAATATTTACTTCCTTAACCTTACTGTTGAGCTGTATAGGTCTCTGAAGTTTTTTTATATTTATATAGTGATTTTAACCCATTCCTCTTTATACTCTGACAAAGGAAGGTTAAATTGGTTAAAGTGGATGGTGCGACACAGTGAATAAGCTACGCCTTCATTTAGTTTGCTATTGATCATTGAGACAAATTCGGGATCAACAAAGTTGAACTTTACATAAAACAGCAATAACTTGATTTTTTTCACTATAAAATGAAAAAATGCTGATGTGAATGGGCCTTTAGGTGCTCTACTGAAGTGTCCTTGAGCAAGACACTGAATGCCTGCCTGCTGCTCTATAGCTGAGCTCCCTGAGGAAAGTGTGAGGGGGCAAAAATTCTTTATCACTCTAAAATTTAAACATATTCATAGATTCTTTCTTTGCTTTCAGCCACCAGCTAAAGGAGCCTTCCTTAGAGGGTCGGGAATGGACCAGTCTACCGGCAGATTCACCGCTCCCATCGCTGGGATCTACCAGTTCTCCGCTAATGTCCACATTGGTAAATCACAGTATATTGTACTTATGTCTTATATGGGCTGTTACAGTACACTACAGTCTAATGTTATGGAACAGCCCTGTCTCGATCTGCAAAAAGACACTTAAGTTATTATTGATTGTTTGCCAAGTCCAGCCCCCACTTAGTTACTGTTGCTATGTCTGTCAAGTTCTACCATAATACATAATTCAGTTTATGAGAACAACACTGTGTTTCTCACTAAAAAAGCGCAACTTATCAAAAGTAAATTGCAAATAAGAGGCCATCTTAGTGTTATTGCATGATGAAAACATGTTTTTTCTAGTCCTGGGGGTACTAAGATGAAAAAATAAAAGTTTGAGAACCACTGATGTAGAAGATATGGAAATAAAGAAACCGCATTGTTGTTGTATTGCAGTGTAGAGCTAGTAAATCCTTGTATGTATTAATCTATGTGTCATTGTGGACATTTTTCCTCCTGTGCAGACCACAATGAGGTGAAGAGGAGCAAGAGTCAGCTCAAGGCCAGGGATAATGTTCGGGTGCTGATCTGCATCGAATCGCTCTGCCACAGATACACGTAGGTATTTTGCACCATCGAGTGCACTGATTATTCATATCCACGTATACATGATTCTAATAGTATGCAGGTTTCTGGTCATCTGTGCGTAGTTCTGTCATGATGTCTCGCCATCTCAGCCACTTTATTCTGTACCAACAGAAAATGTTCAGATGTTCAAATGTTACCACACTTTACTGGTTTCTATGTGAAACTACTTCAGGTATCATGTCCACGATATGGGTTCATCCAGGCTTCTGAAACCAGGATTACATTAGAACTTCGATCCGGCCCAAAAAAATCTATCCCAACCCGACACAAGCCACCAAAAATCCTTTGCGAGCCCGAACTAAACCAAGAAAGCAGTTTTGGTCTAGTCCAACCCGAACCTAGATTTTTCTCTTTTAAAAAAATACAGTAATTCAGATTGTTTACTACAAGCTAAAGTAAACTACATTGTACATATAATACAGTGCAAATTATTATCAAAACAAATAAATAACAAATTCACTCATTAATTAAAGCCCAAACTACGGCAGCAGTTTTGGGCCCGAACCCGGCGGGTCTGGTCTGGTCCAGTCGGGTTTAGGCAGAGAATCAAAGCAATAATTTACATGCACAACACATGACCAGGATATTCATGTAAATGCAGTCATTGTTAAACATGCTGGAGAACCACCGTACACTCAATCATATCAAATATACCCTACATAACACCTCAATAGATTGTATCCATGTGTTTTTCATTTGTTATGTCTGTAACACATGCTGGCCAGTTATACCACCAATAACTGATAGAGGTTAATAAAATCAATCTAGGGAAGTAAATCATTCAATTCTTACTACAAAAACCCCACTTCTTGACATTCATGTTTGGCAAATTGTTTATGTTTTTCCATGTAACAGTGATATTTTATTAGTGTTCAGTGCTGCCTTAACTTTCACCAGGATTTATGAACTGTTAAAGGTATTGTCTGTTACACTTTGTGTGGAACCAGTGTGGCATTTCCTGTATAAAAACAGAGCAGGTCTTTAAAGGAAATGTCCTCTCACTTAGAGCCTTTGTCCCTGTCGCCTAACTAATCTTTATAGGCTCACCTTTGACACATCAGGCAGCCTGTTATATTCAGCAGCACCGCAGTGAAATGCCCTTGTTTGGGATGTAGGAGACAGATAATGAAGTATCTAATACAGCAGGCGCACATGGCGAAAAATCACAAATCCAGTTGGGAACGGTTCATTCCAATATTTCAAAATTTCTATTTATATAAAGAATGAAATGAATTGCTCCCTAAAGTCTCTCCCGGACTGTGCAGAACTCCACAGCCTCCCTTCTAGCTTGGTACAATGAGGGGAACGTATAAATAATATTATTATGATGGGTTACCTAACCCAAAAGAGTCTTTGGTTCTTGCTTTTCGAGCCAAAGCCTCAGCCAGTCTCGCCCTCCCACACATGAAAATGCAGAGAATGTGAAATGAGGCTCATTGCGATGGCAGTTGGAGTGAAGACAAACATGATTGATTTGCCATAAAAATGTAGCATTTTCCACTTAACAGGAGCCAGTGCTCTCGCTGTGTGGTTAAAGCCTGCAGCGATGTTACAACCATCTCTACAGACTTTCAAAGCACTGAGTTGTCAAAGAAAAAGTTTGACATTTTGGCAAATACGCTTATTCTCGTTCTTGCTGTGAGTTAGATGAGAAGATTAATTGACCAGTGTCATGTCTGCACGCTAAATACGATGCTACCAACTGCACCTGGCTAACTTAGCTTAGCATAACTCACTAATTACAGGGCCTTATATGTATATATTACATACTACTTCTTGGCCTGGGACCATTAACTTCCTGGAGGCTCCGCCTGTTGCCTGGCAACTAGTCCCGGCCAAGAGTCATGAGGTCACATCCGGGCTATCCTCTGTTCCTCTAGCCTCTGTAACTCAATGCAATCTCTCATTCAACATTTACTTTTCTAATTATATTCCTGTTTAACAATGATCACTGATTTGCATACAAATAACTGCAGCTCCTATGAAAATGGCGTCATATTTCATAAAACAACACTATCATCTAAAGGTATATCCCCAACTTTATAGCCTTAATCTCTAACTGTTTAAAAATTCTACACTATTCACTCCTCTGTGTCCTGCTGTTATTACAGACATGTCTGTAGACATTTAGTCGATGATGTTCTAAGGGAAAGGTTTTCCATTGGAGCTGTTGTTATGGTTTTGTTGGAATATACAAACAAGATATAGCATGTAAATTACGTCACTTTTTAAAAAAATAAATAAAAAGAAGTCCAAACAAATCAGAATTTGAACAAATCATCTCAAAACACATAGCACGTGAAAACATAACGTAAAGAGTCTTTACTAAAGACGATACTATGGGCTGCATATCTGCATCCTAGCATATAAACCTTGCTATCTTATCGGTGATTTTTACGAGCTTCTGTTAAGAGGCCTGCTCTGTTCAAAAACACATTTTTGAATTGCGACTAAAAAGCGACAGCAATGTGTTAATTAGTGAGCTCTAGAGGTGCTTATACCCTGTAACTGGTCCCTGTTTCCAGCCCTTGTGCTCAGAGTATTTATCAAAATATGGAACTATCCCTTTAAAACAACGCATTTTGCACTTGAAGTGTTGAAGAATGCAGATTTGACATAAATTGTGGTACTCTATTCCTGTTGCAGCTCACTGGAGATGATTGTTGGATTAGAAAGTAACAGCAAGATATTCACAGTCAGCGTGCACGGGCTGCTGGAGCTACAGGTGAGCAGCACACTAAGAGACACACAAACATAAAATATCTGTATTTGTGCAGTCTTTCTGCATCACTCTTATTTGTATTTTCTGTATTTTCCTCTGCAGGCCGGGCAGTACACCTCCATATTTGTGGATAATGCAGCAGGCGCTTCCATTACAATACAGAACGGTTCAGATTTTATGGGCATGCTGCTTGGTGTATAGCCTCACACACATGAACAGGGCATCATATCCAAGCCATCCACTGCTGCCGTTTTCTTTTCTTTTTTTTCTCAACGGACTGCTTATGAGCACCACCAAACAGTACCAAACCACAGGGGAAGGTTTGAAGGAAGGAAGCGAGGCTGACATTGACATTGACTGCTTGTCAGACGGTGAAAGGACAGTGTGAAGAACTCGAGGACTGAGTTTGTTTTTCACAGTGCACTGCCACTTCCCTGAGGAACTCGGATGCCCTGTTGCCTCACCAATAAAATAACCTGAAAATAAAGCATTGAATATGTCTGTTTCAGTATATTTTTCATGGATGTTGAAGACCTTTGCGGTACACCAAATGTCAATGTTTCTAATGTTCTCTGGATTGATGTTGAAAGAGCTAAGGAACATGGAAAAGTACATTTATGTGATTAATGTATACTGACATGTTTATACTTTTGTCTATGTACACACTCATGAACTATAGTTTTTTGTTATTATCATGGATTAAATCTCACATTTATATATGTTATATGGTACATAGACTGTGAGTACACTGGACAATGGAAACATGCTCAATAGACAGAATACGGCCTCACAAGATCTTGGAAAAGTGATGTCTCACATTTGTGATTACATGTGTTATGCATGTATTGTGTATTTTTAGCCATGCTAGTGGTGTAGGACTTTGGTTCAAACCAAAATATCTCAACAACTATCTGATTGATTGCCATGAATCCTCGCACAGACATTCATGGTCCCAGAATGAATCCAATTTGTGGTTTTGAATGAAATATTGCAACACCAAATTGTATGGCTTCCCTCTGAAATTTGGTTCACACACATCCCCCCTCGTCCCCTGCAGGAAGAATTGTTACCAATGTTAGCATGCTAACATGCTAAAATAAGATTATACCTGCTAAACATCAGTATGTCAGCATTGTCATTGTGAGCTTGTTAGCATGCTGATGCTAGCATTTAGCTCAAAGAACCATTGTGCCTAAGTACAACCTCATAGAGCTGCTAGCATAGCTGTGGGCTATTATGGCGTATTGACATTACAACAGAAAAACAAGGGTTTCGTGCTACATGTTAAGCGTTGGTCAGCGCAGTATTTACCACTTCAGGACTCAGAGTGGCGCTATACTGAACAGCACCACCTTAGCCACGATGCTATGTTTCAGAGAAAAACATTGTGTTTGTAAAAAACCAACATGCCAAAATATCAGTTTTGTCTGGTCTCGATACGAGGCCAATTTGGTATTGATCAGGTCAGTGCAGCTCGGGTCACAGTTCAACAAATTTGAACTTTTGGTGCACCCCCACTCAGCTCAGTGCACCAGAGACATGTGAGCGAGCTTTAATGAAAGACGCACGTGCAAGAGGTTTTTCGTGATAATGTGAATACGCCTTTAGTCTTGTTTAAATGTGTCAGACACATTGAGTTACACCTTCTAGCTGTGAGAGAGCTGTAAGAGAACGATGTTTTGGTAGCCTAAAGATTATTTTTACAGTCTTTTTTTGTGTTATCATTTATCATTTGTTTTGTTTTTACTGTATTTTCTTCTTTTCTTGACATATAGATGTTTGTAATTTATCATAATTGATACACAAGTAACATTGGAAAGCATTGAAATTTGATATGGTATTTATGTTTGAGGAATTGTATGAATCACATGTTGATTTACACTCTCGTGGACTGTTGAAACCACAGATTATTGCAAGAATAAAATTATATCTTTTTACTATTTTTTTATTACCCATACTATGCTGTAATTTGAAATTAAAACTTTTTAAAATGTTTCCACTTGGTCTCTGCACATAATAATGGTAATAATAGTAATTGATTTATACAAATTATAATCACTAGCTCAGGGAATTGCTATCAGAATTTCTTCTTCTTTCTTTCTTTTTTCCCCCCACTAGGGATCAATAACTTTATCTTATCCTTTTCAGTATCTCAGAAAACGTCCTCTGGAGTTCAACAAAACTTAACATTTCTCTGTGCCGTCATTTGAATTGTAAAATACCAAAAATACCTTAAATACCTTTGCAAACACTGGCAGACTGCCAAGTAAATTCATGACTGCAGTTATCTACCTGTAAAATATTACTAAAAGCATCTTGACATGAGACACTCTGCATGTCATCCAGGATCGTGTGTCCAGGGAACTAAATCTAATGGCTATTACCTTTCGTCCATGTATTTCATATTTCTCAAGTTTCTGGTTTAATTAGAACTGAATAGCTGTTGTCCATCACAACATACTGAGGGTTCAGCAATTTGGACTTTATTGCTACTCTTTGGAGATGATTAGAGAATCTCTAATATCACTATATTGTTTCTTGGGTGGTCTCACAAAGCACTAATAAGAAGGTCTTGGACTTTATTGCACAAATGCTTGTCCAGCCAGTAAAATGAGCTTGTTAGCATCATTGCATGAATGCTTTATAATAGAGGCTTCTCATGGAAGCATTGCTGAGATGCCAACTGTCACATACTGTACCCGAGGACCAACCACAAGAACGTTGCACCCACGTGCTATTTCAGCCACCTACTGTAGCACACATTTCAGGACAGGAATGGGCTGCTTGCTGAAAAGCACATGCAAAAAAATTGGAAAACAAACATTACTTTTTTTATTTCTAAATGGGCTGCCCAACATTTTTAGGTACCAGTTAATATGTGTTCTTATTTCCCCACAGCTTAATTTTCACATGAACTACCAGTCAAGAGAAATGTTTTGAAAATGACAAATGAAAATAAAGATGTTGAAAATAGCTCAGCCTGAATTTATAGTGTATATTAGGTGACTGGGATTGCTAAAGCATATTCACTTTCCTTTTTTTTCACAAGTCTTTCAACATGTTTAACAGTGCAGGGATGACAGACGATATACGTTTACATAATATTTGCCTTTTCATTGCTCAAGAAGCAAGAGAATGGCACACACTTGTGAGTTTTGATTGTCTTATGTTCTTTTTCTTTGAAATGTGTTTAATGACAGCTATGTGAGCATGCCGTAACGCATTCGCTGCCCTGCAGTGGAACATGGAGCCTGCCAAAGTGGTTGCGAAACCACCCTGCGCCACGACTCTGACAGGAATTTCCCATCGCCCCATTATCAGCATCAGACAAGCTGAGTGATTGCAATTACATCTGCCCAAATGCTAAGAGCAACTGCTTTTTCTCTTTTCCTTCAGAGAAGTGAGGTATTATGAATGGCCCCATTGTGAATCTGTGAGGTTTCTGTCTGCCCTGTAAACCAACATAGTTGGGCTGTGTAGCTTTAATGAGGCCTTAATTATGAGATTCCTCTACCTTAGTGACTGACTCATTGGGTGACGGCTTTAAGCAAATCCCCCCTGTGTACAGGCGTCCCTAAGACAAGGGGAGACTAGAACTAAATGTGACCATATAACGACACACACACACATTTTGAATACCTTATGCTTTGTCTGCGAACTCAAAATTCATATAAAGCAGGGAAGTCCATCCAAAGTGCTGTAGTTTACTCCAAACACATACAATCAAAGCATAGTTATGAAAGGTGACCATAGTTGGAGTCCAAATATGAGGAAGACATGACATTTTGGCGAGTAGCCAGCCACCGGCCCGGACCCCATGCATTCTGTCTTTCTTCTCTGTTTGTCAGCACTTCCAAACATGGCTACCTGCAGAGAGGAACAGACAGTCAGACTCTCTCTTAGGGATGCCAGGCTCCTGTATATTATGTTTTTAGCATGCCACAGATTTTTTCACAGCAGCCTAAGTTACTCCAAACAGAGCCGAGCAGTCCGAGTCCTGCTGATACAGAGGCTGCCCTAAACAAACCTGTTGCTGTGATACCGTCCCCTCTGTTGTCCCAGTGGAGGAGAAGATGAAAGATAAATGCAATGCAGTGGAGCTCATTACTTGCTAGTTTTCATATTATATGTATTAGTTGCCCCGGTACCACTTTTTAATAAGGAACCTTTTGTGAAAGGTTTATAAGATGCAATTAATGTCCATATTATAGTTTCTCTTTTAAAGAACTGTTATAAGCCATTACTAAGAACGATGTTTGGGATTCCAGGTTGTGGAAAATCCTCCAGCATAACATTTTCATTGCTTTCTTAGCTAGCTCTTTAAATGTATCAGAATCAGTATTTTTATATTGGATAATGGATCACTGCTTGTATGTGAAAGGTGAGCATTGTTATCACAAGACTGACCTGCAATTCCCCTCAACTCTACTGAGCTTTATAATGTTTTAAATGATTGTCTTGGTTTTCTGGCCGGCAACTTTACTGTTTTGGTTCACGCTCAACTCATATTGTTGTTTATGGCCACAGCAGGCGGCTGTTTTTTGTTTTTTGGCAAAAAAAAAAGCTCCAAAAAACAAATTACACACTACAGACTCAAATGCACACACAGTTTACAGCTACAAGGGCCATTTATTTCCCTCAGGAGATGGTAGAGACCAAAAAAGGAGCTAAAAGAGAGTGAATATTGGCCATACATTCATCAGGTGGCCACAAACACAACTCCAAGTGAATAATAATGTAGCTCTGTATCAGCGGGATGTGTACTGTAAATAGGCAACTGTTTGTTATTATATTTGCCATATCAGCTTAAATTCAAACGTCGCCTTTAAACCAAATCAAATTACATAAATTCTGCAAGTCAGAAGCTGAGATGGCAGTTAGTACTACTCTGCTAAGCTAGACTAGTTTGTGTTTAGCTGGATTAGTTTGTCAGGTGTTCCTCCATTATTATTAGATTATTTATGAAGTAAAGGAAACTGAATTATTAAGATGATGGAGCATAAAAACTGATGTTTCAGTTACAGAAAGTAGGCAAATTCGCTTTAGCTAAAGTTAGCTATGATTTTTAGCTCTGTTTTGTTGTTTTGTTTTTCCTTTAAATTTCACATTTATTTATTTTTTATCTGTTAAAACAGGTGTCAACATGTCTTAAACAGGTTTTGACTAAATATGTAGTTACTGTATTTTGGCTTTGTAGGGCAGAACAATGTCTACTTGCTAACAGAAGTAATAGCTCAGGTACTGCACGCGTTAGTGTGTGAATCACGTTGTATTTCACTGCTTAGTTACCATTTTATTGATTTGTCACTAGGCTTTAAATTGAAAGAGACAGATTGTATTTGTTCCTTGGTTTTGTTATTCTACTACATGATTTGTTGTTTGGCTCAACAACTTAATTATTGCCTAGAAGAAAAAGAGAGACACAAACACAGATAATGTCTTTCTACAGTGCCTGAGGGACATTATCCTGATATACATGTGCAAATTGATTGCCATGACCACTTTTCTGCAGCCAATGCAAAGTGGATGTGTCATATCTTCCTCTGAGTAATCTTCCATTAATGGTGTCTGGGGCGAGAATGGTTTCAAAAACCCGACAGCAGCTATGTAAGTATTTTCAGCAATTTAGTTCTCAAATTGCAGCTGTCAAGAGCATTTGAGGCTACCCTCAGTCCTGCATGGGCCCTAAAAACGTTGTGTCTCATGTCTCTGTCATGTCATCTCTTCACCTTTACAGGTTCACTCAGCAATCTCTGGTGCAATTATGTAAAAAGTTATACAGGGACAAACTGGTCCAGCTTGACATTCATGCACTAACACACACACACACCTCACAGCATGGACAGGCATCAGGAAAGAGTCTGGTGTAGTTGAAGTGGAGACGGTGGGTTTTAATGACACAGTATCTCTCAGAACGCTGTTCCCATAATTATGCTCTGTCTGACGTGGATCTGTCATTGGCATTGATTGTTTGTCCTGATGCCCACCTCCTCGGGGGAGGAAAGTGTGTGAGTGTAGAGAGGAGGGAAGGGGGTGGATGTTTGGATCCCCTTGAGCTGGACAGGTTGCATTCAGGAGCCCATGGGAGGCCCAAACTGGAGCCATTGGTGAGATTGGTATCGTGTTAATAGCTCCACAGGCTCCAAGATGCATAGCAGCAAAACCATAAGAGGCACTGGAATGTGGAGCTCCCTTGAATCATTGTCATAATTAGGGACAATTGCACATGCAGACCCTAGACCTATTGTGCTCATTTGGAACTTGTTTTGTCTGACTTCTCTCATGCCACACTACGCGGCTTATGTCTAGGTGTTTGTGTGTGTGTTAAAGCTTCAATATGTAAAATTTCTGCATGTATAAAGATACTAGACTTATGTTATATATTTGAGTTGTGTATGTAAATAATCTCAAATATTATATATATATATAA